TAGCCACCCTCTCCAACAAGAAAGAGCAGAGGCTCAAAGGACAAATCCTATCTCCATTCCCAGTAGGGTCACGGGCAAGTCAGCGATATTTATGAGCAGGGCTATTGAAGGCAAAGACAATCCCTGTTCTTTATCCATCACCAGGAAGAGACTCCAATGGCCCTGAGATGGCATGTATGGATTTATCCCTCCCTATAGTCTAGAGGCTCGGCCTCATGTCTGTCCTCCTGTTGACCGGCCCACAACCCCCAGCCCTGGGCTTTGAAACCAACCCAAGCACTTTCTTTTCACACAAAGCAAGAAGTAGTATCTGTAATAGCTGTAGAACCACCCAAAAATTCCGTTCCAAGCGCACCTTTTTTATTAATTCCATGTATTTTATTAGAGTATAAGAAACACTATGTAACATACACTACACATCCTTACGTTAATAGATTTAAAGGAATCGACATTTCTTTATTCTTCTTATTCTGTTACAATAAAGTTAATACACAATTACAAATCTCACGTATATGTATTAGTAAAATCAACATTTCAGTGTAGCCATCTCAGTGAAATGAGATCATCCAACAAAGCTGAAATAAAACGTGTCAGTATTTTTTCTGCAATACTTTATTTGCCTTATTATATTTTCAGGAAGTGTTTCAGTTTTGATGAAACAGTAGGGTTTGGGCTGGAAAAAGTGTTTCCTTGGAAAACACTGGACCTGGGAAGCCTCAATTTACACTATCAGAGCAAAGCTCGACAAATTGAAACATTCCATCTGTCTCTGATGCCTCTGATTCTCTGCCTTGCATGCAATTATCTGGTTAAAGGTAGCTCACCCTTGGATCCCTACTCACGATTTCATGTGTTAAGGGTTCCTCCTTGAGTTGAGAGACGTGAGCTTCAAAGCATCTCTACCAAGTCTAGCAAAAGCCAGTAGATGGCAGGACCGACCCAGGGCTTCGCTTCCCTGGGCACCATGGACATTCCCAAACTGCAAAATTAGGTGTGTCTATCCCCGTTCCAGTTTGATAGCCTCAGACAGCAGCTTTCCAGGGGTGAAATAACTCCTCCAGGATCAAGGAAGGATTCCGAGCCTTCTTCATCCCCAACAGCTGAGGCACCACTGAGGATGACAGTGAAAGCACAGCCCAGCTTCAGGGTGCAAAAGCACTGGGATGACAGGAGCGAGGGGGCTTGTGATAAACCTCCAAGCACCCAGATGTGTACCACATCTGCCTTTCCCAGAGACAGGAGAACACGGGTGCCTATACCTCATTCCAGCATGGAGACACAACCACCCACACCAGAGGTACCAGGTTTCCGGCAGGCGTGGTGGGACCACAGCCTCCTTCACGACAAATAGGGTCGCTGGGAGGTGAATCACATCAAACAACCCGTAACTTGAGTAAATTAACACCAAGCAAGGACATTCTTTGAGTAACGATGTAGATGTAGATCCTTTGAGTAACATTTAAGCAACTGGCCTTATTTGTTCGGGCTGCTCGTGCAAGGAAGTCACATCAGGTTTGTGTTTTCCAAAAGGAATAAATTTTGTCCTTTTGCAAAGAAAAAAAAAAATCTCGAAAACCAGTTGGAAGAACTTTGTTCATTTTTAGGTCCTCCTTTTCGGCAAACAGCAAACCCAGCGAACCTGACTGGAAAGGGCTGGTGCCGCAGTAAGCTTTGAGCATGTACAGACAATCCACAAAAATGAGAGCCCTTGCGACGTTGGCGTAGTGGTAGACGGCAGCAGCTGCCGTTGAAATACAGCCATTTTCAGGACGGAAGCACAGAAACCATTTTCTCATTAGCTTGCTCCAAAATGGGCAGGTTTTTGACTTGAGCTGTTCTCCTCTTCCAGTGAAAACTGTTCTGGGATATTACACGCTTGTATAGAGCAAAGCTGCCTCTCCTCGTAACTTTTTTGCCTTGTCAGAACAGGTGAAGATCTCAGTTTTCTGCTGAAATTTCGATCTCTAATTCCACAGTCCAAGTAAACACATTCAAAGCACTTAAGGGTCGCCCCACCGTGGCCCTCAAGTTCCAAATCAGGCGTTTGGTTTAACAAGCCACTAATTTTAATGCTCTGTAAATGCTGGCTTCTTGCTATTATCTTCTTTTTATTATTAATGTTTTTAATTACTACAGCTGCCCCTTTTCAGGCCTTTCACTCCTGGGCTTTACAACAGCTGAGGTTCTCACATGATTTCTGGTGCTGGAGATTCGGGGCCCGAAAAAAAATCTATAGCAGGACCAGAAATCGTGAGAGCTGGCAGAACTGATCTTATGATGCTTGGGATTAAACTGCTGAATAACATCTCTTGCATTTGACAAGCCGTCGTACCCTCCCTCTGTCTCAAATATATATATATCTATCAAGGAGATCTTTGCAACGTGTATGTGAATGGAGAAACTTCTCTCTTTCTATATACTGAGAGTACAGGAACATAGCGCATGAGGAGTGAAAAACAAAAAGGGAGTGAAGAGGGAAAAATAAATCTCCATATGCAATCTATTAATCATCTATAGGCTCAAGAACACGTGTGAACTGACCTTCAGATCTGTCCCCTGGCAACATCATTAATATAACCTGTTATTTGTATAGGGTAAGTAGCCTGCCGAATGCTCTTCCCACCAGCCCTTGCATAACCAAGTCCTGGGCACCAGCAAACTCGGAAACGCTGAGATAGGAAGGAGATGGCCATCGGATGAGGCAAACAGGTCTCATAACCCTGCTCGTAGCTTTAGCCCATGGTATTGTCCAGTGCGGCCTTGTAAAGGCACGAGGACACAGCTACGCTGATGGCTTTTGAGTTTAGCTCTTTGCTTGCAGCAGAGGTGTTGTGAGGGTAATTGAGTCCAAAACCAAGATAACTTTTACCAGGGGGCTAGAAAAAGAGTTACAGCCCCATTACTTGCAAGGTCGAGTACTCTGGGTGCCACCTTGGTCTCACTATAGCATCTTCTCAGAGTAAGTGGTGAGGAACAAATTAACCCTGCAAACAAGGTTTCTAACCCTCTTGGGAGGAAGGCTCAGGCACAGGGAAACTTGGGAATATTTACCCCGTTTCTAGTAATTTTTCCCCCCGATTTTCCCTGTGCCATATGTGCATAGCAGAGGTTTGCGGCACACCTCAAGCCCTGTGGTCCCAGCAGGTCCCAGCAGGCGAAGCAGAATGCATTAACCAGAGGAAGGCACATCTGAGGACCAACGAGACAAGCAACGTGTTCTTACCAAACTCATCACCTAATTGCGGGTCATGTCACGATGACCAGCTTGTCCTGTTGTAAAGGCTGTCATTAGCATCTGTGGCCATTTAATTAAAAGATGGGGAGAAGGAAGAGAAAAAAAAAAAACATGTAACCACTTTTGTTCCCAATATTTCTATACATCTGCACACATCTTCCAAAAGAAGCCATTTATCACTCATTTAAGTGGGGACAGAGATATAATTGAACACCGAGTGCAGCTTGAGAGGCTTTTGGGGTTTTTTTAACACAAAATAGGAGAACAACATACAAGGAGGGCATGGCTAAAGAGTGTCAACGCTACACCACATTTTTGCTGCTAGAAGAGACAAAAAGCCCAGAGAACCCCTGATCTATCAGTGGAAGGACAGCAACATTTTGCATGACAGCTTAAGGGTCAATTTGGGCTTGTTTTGTGTCTGGCAGGTCCACAGGTAGGCCAAGCAGATAGGAAACCAGCACGATGCACACATCTCCAACAGGACAGCTGAGAACTTCCAGGAGCAATGCTGCCAAAAGACCTGGGAAGATCCTGGGATGTGAGGGACAGCAGGAGTGGCAGGTTTGGTGGTGGAGTCACCTTCTGCAGTCCACATGTATCATCAGCCCATCAGCCAGGGATTGCAAGTTGAAGCTAAAGATCCGAGTATTGACATCTTTGCCTCTGACATCACTAAATTTTGCAAACAGACCTGTTGCACTGGGTCATTTAGGTGCTGATGTCATTGTCTATTGCCACCACAAGTCCAAAGTGGGGAAATGGAGGCACCAAGTTTTTGTAATATGCAGACTAATTTTTAGAGCTCCTGTTCCCAGTGCGCTTGCTCCGTTTAATGGGGTTGACTCAGACCCCAATAACTGGCATTTTACACTGAAGTGCACCTGGAAAAGGCGATTCCCAAGAGAGGTGACACAAGCTGACCCAGGTGTGTTTATCAGAAAGGACAGGGACAGGGAGAAAATGGACTTGCTGCTCAGAGGTGAACAGGAAGGAATGCTGAGACGAAGCACTGAAAAGCCACTTGATAGGGTAAGAGGCCCTCGTGCCGGGCATAATATTTGGGTTTCTTCTAAGAGCGTTCCTAATCTCTCTGTCTGGAGCAAGGAAACACACACAGCACACGTCCCACCTCAGGTAACAACAGGAGCATGTTTATTCAGGTCTGGCACTTACAGAGCTCGGAGGGACAAGGTACACGTCTCATTTGTTTTCCAGAAAAGTCACCCCAGGATCAGAAGAAACAAAAGGATTTTATAAAAAGAGACTGATGTTGCAGGGGGCTGGGAATGTGTCTCCCTTCGGGTCATGCATTCCCGGTGCCCGGACCACCCATGTGCTGGGGGCACACCAGCACCAGGCACCTCCACGGAGGCGAGAGGCAGGAACGTCTGAACACTTGACCAGGTGGTATCTGGGGTTAATCGGTTCTCGGCGAGTCCCAGCCTTGTTTTAACCAACCTTAGAAATGAGCAGGGGGGAGGGGGTATTAGGTATAAAAGCAGAAACCCTTCCAAAACAATCCACCTTTGCCAAGGAGGTGTGAGAGTGCAGTGGGGTTATGTCCACAGAAGGAGGAGAACAGCTTGGCCAAACCACCCAGGG